CCTCTCCTTTTTTTTTTTTTTTTTTTTTTTGGAACTGGGAATTGAACTTGGGACCTTGTGCTTGTGAGACAGGAGGCAGCACCACTGAGCTAATTCCCTGGCCAGCCACTACTCTGTTTTTCCCTAATTTCATGCTCAAAAAGTGAACTTGTATCCTATTTTTCGTAGGGCATATTTTATTTTGTTTGTACCAGAGATTGAACTCGGGACTGTATGCTTTTGAGGCAGATGGTGGCAACACTGAACTAAATCCAGCCTATTAGGAGACATTTTAAATGTGAATCCTCTTTATAGAATTTGTGACCCTGTCTACTTTCACCCTTATTTCACCCTCCTGTCTCTGTATTTAATCCAGTCTTCAGTCTTCATCCGTACTCAGATATGTCTCAGTCTTTGAAATGCCCTGGCTCAAAAGCCACAGCTTTTTTTCCTTTTTAAGTTTCTGTCTTCTCTTTTTTAAAAATTTGAAACAGTAGCCTTTCTTTGTGTCTGTTGATTCTTTGAAAGTCAATAAGGAGCTGTGGTGGTGCATTCTTGTAATTTCAGCGCTCTAGGAAGCTGGGGCAGGAAGATTACAAGTTTAATCCCAGCCAAGACAATTTAAATGATTTAGTGAGACCCTGTCTTAAAATTTTAAAAAGGGATAGAAATGTAGCTAACAAGGCCCTGGATTCAATTCCTAGTACTGAACAAACACATCAGTAGCTCCCTTACAACCTCCTTTGGTCAGGTGTGGTAGTGTGTACCTATATTCTGCACACTTACTTGGGAGTTTGAAGTAGAAGGATTGTGAGTTAGAAATCAGCCTAGGCTACACAATGAGACCTCATCTAATCAGCCAGCCAACTAACCAACCTAAACAAATGTATGACTTTGGGAGAAATACAACCCTATCAAATGCCATAAGCTTACTTGATGTTACCGTCTCCCCTTAGTTCCCCCTCATATTTGTGGCCACTGGTTACTGTTCCTTTACTTACTTACTTACTTACTTACTTACTTATTTATTTATTTATTTATTTATTTATTTATTTATTTATTTATGGTATGGGGATCGAACTTGGGTCCTTGTGCTTGCAAAGCAGATGGCGGCGGAACCACTGAGCTAATTCCCGGGCCCCTGTTCCTTTACTTCTGATAGCCACTTAACCACTTAGTCCAATTATTTAAATACAGGATAACCAAAAATTTCATATTTTTGTTAGCTTTTATAAGATAATACCATAGGAAATATAAAAATAATTTATTAAATTTATTCAGTCATTTTTCTGTGTATGGTATATCTTAAAACATTTAATACACAGCGTAACATTATGTTTCTGAATTCTTTTTGCATTATTGTCTTTCTTTGAACAACACACTTTGCATTGTTGTGTTGACCTTTCCTTTTTTCCTGTGGGTGATATAATTTCAATAAAATGTCTACCCACTAAATGTAATAATGAAGATGTCCATGGTAGGTGTCTGTCTTGATGTTTTGGTATCCTGTATTTTTCAGTTATTTGGTCTATTAGACTTAATCTAAATTGTAAATGACCTTTTTGTTTTTTGTGTTTTTTTTGGTACCAGGGATTGAACTTGGGTCCTTGCGCTTGCAAGGCAGGCCACCGAACCGCTGAGCTAAATCCCCGGCCCCGACCTTTTTGTTTTTTAAGATAAGATCTCACTCTGTAGTTCAGGCTGGCCTCAAACTCATGGCAGTCCTTCTGCCTCAGCCTCCTGAGTGCTGGGATTACAGGCATGTGCCACCACGCCTGGCTCCTGTAAATGACTTTTTGAACCCCCCTTTGAATAAATAACAAATGAATTCTCTATTTTTTAATCCAGAAGGTGCATAAATATTTTATAGTAATATTTTTTCTTAGCTTTTTGATTACAGGGTAGCTTGTTAAAATGTTGGTCAACTCTGTAAACACCCACCCATAGAACTATTATAATCATTGACCACACTTGAAATTTTTTTTAGTATTTTCTTTCAAGTTCTGTCTTCGCTATTAAAAGTTGACAGTAAGGAAATTAATTCTTTTTCCATTTCATAGCACATATTTTTCCTTTCTGATGTGTTAACATTTCTCCCTTTCCAGTTTTTTCTTTTGGCACAACTTTCCTGTTAAGTCTCAGTGTCCCAAACATGTCCATTTTATATTGTTAAAGAATATCACTGAGGGCCCAGGATTTAGCTCAGTGTTGTCACGCCTGCTTTGCAAGCACAAGGTCCTGAGTTTGATCTCTGGTACTAAAAAAAAAAAGGCTATCATCAAATACTGGAGGAGTATAAAAATTATATTTAATATACTTATGAAAAGTTTTTTAGGGGGCCAGGGATTTGGCTCAGTGGTTCCACCTCCTGCCTTGTAAGTGCAAGTGCAAAGGCCCGAGTTCAATCCCTGGTACCAAAAAAAAAAAAGTTTTTTATAGATGGTAGTAGAAAATTATAGGTTATTTTTCACAAATAAAATAAACATGAATTAGTAAAAGAAAATAGCTGTAACTTATTAGATTTCACTAGAAACAAACATCAAAAGTGAACACAACATTCTAAATGAAAAGGAAAGCGTGGTGGTGCACACCTGTAATCCCAGCACTTGGGAGGCTGAGGCAGGAGGATCAGTGAGTTTGAGGCTAGCCTGGGCTGCATAGTGAGTTCAAGGCCAGGATGAACTATGTAGTGAGACCCTGTCTCAGAAACAACAATAACAACAACAAAGTAAACATAAAAGAGTGTATCTTGTGCAAACAAGATTGGACTGGTTGAAATGACATCTGCCTAAGCTACACTCAGGACAGCCAGTACATAAACAAACGCACTGCCTAAATGATGCTCAGGGTAAACTGGTAAGTGATTAACTGTGGGTGTGCTTCTTTGTTACTAGGGAACAAACTCAGGACCTTGCACTTGCGAGGCAGGTGTGGTGCCACTGAACTAAATTCCTAGTCCTGTCTCATTTGGATCTTCAGTCGCTTCCCTTTTTCCCAGCTTTCAGATTTAGATTTCCAGCTATTTAAAGGACATATATACTGGGCTAGTCCATAGATATCTCAGTTTCAACGTATGAAAAACTATACATTTGTTATTTAGTCTCTTGTGATGTTTTAGTTTGTACATTTTATGCCTTTGTCAGGAGTAAATAATAATATTATTATTATTGTGTACTGGGGATTTGTGCGTGCTAGGCAGGCATTCTACCATTGGGCGACCTCCCTACAGCTTGCTTTGTTTTTTTGTTTTGTTTTGTTTTTTTTGAGACAGCCCCACTAAGTTTCCCAGGCTGGCCTCAAACTTGCAATCATTCTGCCTTAGGCTCCCTAATTACTGACTTAGTTGCTCAAGCTTTTGTCTTTGGAGTAACTGACTTCTTCCTCATTTTCATCTCTCATTGTCAATCAGTTCCCAAGTCACATTGAATCTGTTCTTAGATCTGCCCTTTCTTTTCCATTTCTACAAGCTACTGTTCTAATTTAATTAAGGCCTGCCCTACTTGTATGGTCTTTTACTGGTCTGGCTTTCCGTACCTACTTTTTCCTGTCCATCTTTTGATTCTGGCTCTCCTGTTGTTTTTCGGAAACGTAGATTTGATCTTGTGATTCCTTTGTTTATAATTCTCCAGTAGTTCCCTACTGTCCCCATGTTAAATGTTACCTTACTGTGGCACCCAAAAAGAAGACATCTTTTCCTTTTCTCCTTTCCCTTTGGTTTTCAGTTCTAGTCACCAAATTGCTTCACATTCTCTGTTATATCCTACTTCTCTGTTTTGTACATTTGACTTTTCTATTAAGAATTTCCCTTTCATGCTGGGCATGGTGGTGCACGCCTGTAATCCCAGCACTCGGGAGGTTGGGGCAGGAGGATCCTGTGAGTTCGAGACTATCCTGGGCTACATAGTGAGTTCTAGGTCAGTCTCAACTCCATAGTGAGACCCTGTCTCAAAAAACCAAAAAAAAAAGAATTTCCCTTTCATCCTGTCCCTGGCAAATGCTTGTGTATCCTTCTGGATCCAGCTCACATCTCTTCTGTAAACCCTTCTTGTACTTTCTTTAATTTTAGACTTACCTACCAAAAGTATGTTTTTTGTTTTTTTTGGTTTTTTGAGACAGGATCTCACTGTGTAGTTGAGACTGATCTGGAACTCATTATGTAGCCCAGGCTGCTTTTGAACTCACAGTGATCCTCCTGCCTCTGCCTCCGAGTGCTGGGATTATAGGTGTGTGCCACCACGCGCAGTTTATTTTTTCTTTTTTTGATAGCCCTAGGTTTCAAACCCAGGGCCTCACAGACAGGCAAGTGCTCTTGTCACTGAGTTACATCCCTAGCCCAGCCCCAAATTACATTCTTTTTGATACATTATGATACTAATCTCCTTATTTCTGTTTAACCATCTTACTCATCAACTGTGAGCTCTGTGAGGGCCTTATCCATATTTATGTCTTCTGTATGTATCAGCCTTTGGCAGGTGTCAGGCTCTCATTAATCTTTGTGTTTAATGAGTGACAGTCCCCCCATTTGGTTTGGTGCTCTGGGACAGATTCTCACTATGTAGCCCAGACTGTCCTTGAAATCAAAATCTTCCTACAACAGCTTGTCAAGTGGGGGTTGCAGAGAGGTACGCACCATCATGTCTGGCTTAGTTTTTGTTTTTATAATTAAATGTCATGTGCCAACCATAATAGTCCTACTGCTAATGTGACTCATATTTACTAATCTGTTTGAGGAAGCAGTATACCAGCTCTTGGACCTTATCTTGCCTTTTTATTTATTTTCCAACCAAGCTTATTTTGGGTGTAGCCTATTCTATCCTCCCTCTTCTGGGAGGTATGGGGAAAAGGGATGTATTTCATTTAGTTTGGCGGCATTAATAGCTTGGTTTTTTAGGGTGCTTTCCTTGGCTGCAGAGGACACATTGTCTTTTAGGTCTCTAGTTAAGAACAGTAGTAGAAAAAGGATTTGGTTTTTCCAACTTCAAAGTGGGAGGCTTTTTGGGTAGAGTAAAAGGGTTTAATTTAGTAAGCAGTTAAGTCAGAAGTTCCTAGCTGGAATGCCATGCAGCACAGGTTCACTGCAGGTGGGTCAAAGGTGCGCTAAGACATGGATTACTTAGGAGCGTGTGTGAGCAGCTTCATCCTCTCACTGCAGTGCTCTAAGCATTTTCTACATGTACCTTTCTGTGAACATGGTAGGTGGTCTGTGGTAAACAAATGGATGGAGTATATAAGGGTCTAGGACAGAATTAGAACTAATATGCAGGGGCTTATTCCAGTTACCTCTAAAGCTGGAAAGAACTAATTTTTGTGTTTTCTCAGGTGATAGCCTAAGTTGGAAGTAATGGCAGGTTCAATCAAAGTTAAGCTTATTGGGAGCAACCCAATTTGTAAACAGTTGAGGACTGGTGAGGTGAATTACTGCTTAGCCATGTACAATTAGGCTTATGGATTTGGCATCATGTGAAACTTCTACACTGATTATATATCGGCAAAAGCACATTCATAAATGAGAAGTACTTAAAATGAAGATAAAAGTTGTTGGGTTGTTTCCCTCTCAGGAGAGCTGCCTCAGTATAAAAGTGATGTTTAGAAAGCTGTCTTGAAGTAGTTGATGTGATGAAAACAGCTAATCCCAACGGTCTAGGGATTTTGGGTCATTAGCCTGACCTATGCAGGTGATGTTATCCAAGCTTAAACATTTTTTTTTTTCATTCACTCTAAAAGATACTGTATGTGGACTAAGATGGTGGTAAGGAGCATGGGAGAATGGTATACTATGTAGTTTTTAGGGTTCCCTTTCTAATGTATTTGGGAATTTAATATGACAGTATGGCATTGAGCTGAAAGGCCAGAGAGCTGGATGACCTTACTGATCTCAGTTCTCACTGCCTGGCTGTGACTTTAGGTAGCTCCTTTATTCTCTTGACCTCATCAGTAAGCTGAAATGGTTGTAGTAGATTTCTAAGCCCTTTGCAGCTCCAATCTTTTATGGTTCTGTATAGTTTTTGCTTTCTTCTCTTTGATGTCCAGGTATCATCCATGCAGCAGAGGAAAAGGACTGGAAAACTGCATACTCATACTTCTATGAGGCTTTTGAGGGTTATGACTCCATCGATAGTCCCAAGGCCATCACATCTCTGAAGTACATGTTGCTGTGCAAAATCATGCTCAACACGTACGTGCACGTTAATTCTCAAATATATGAACTCTAGTCCTTCAACTAAGTCTGTGTGCCATAGCAGAGATGGCTCAGGTAGGGAGTTTGACCAGTTACAGATGAAACAGAAGCAGTAACCTCTGATGGTTAAAGTGGTAGGGAGGATTTTGGTGTGACAGCACTTATGCTTGATGTCTTTCACACAAGGAAACAGATTTTAGAAATCCCCTTCCTAACCCCTCTTGCAGAATTTTCTTCACTCTTCAAATATTCTGTCCTTATAAGTTCTGAACTCAGGATAGAGGTCAGGAAAAAGTGCCAGCTGCCTGGGCCACTCAGAATGCAGAGGGTAGGCCTAACAAGGTGTTTGAAGAGTGAACAATAGAAAGTATAGCAGACCTTTTATAGTCTATAGAATCATCCGCGGTCTATTGGGAATGAATTAAATATTGACTGGGGCTCTTTGAATCTTTTTGGATTACACAGAGGACTTGTACTTACTGTTTTGCTTGTTGAGTCTATTTGATTTTGGTAGATTTAGTTAGCCAGCTTGCTTATCTTCCCTCCCTACCCCCTTGTCTTTCCCTCCCTATTTCCCTCCTTTCTCCCTCCTCTCTCTCCCCTCCCCACCTGTCCCCTTTCCTTCTTGTCTGTCTTTTTGGTACTAGGTATTGAATCCAGGGGCACTTTGCCACTGGGCTATATCTCCCACCCTTTTAATTTTTTATTTTGAGACAGGGTCTTGCTAAGTTGCCCAGGCTGGCCTTGAACTTATGATCCTCTTGCCTCAGCCTCTCAAGTAGCTGAGATTACAGGTGTGTGCCCCCACTAGATAATTTTTGTGTGTGTGTGTGTGGTACTATAGATTGAACCACAAAGCCTTTGCACTGAGTTATCTCCCCAGCCCTTTTTATTTTGTTTTTATTTATTTAGATGTGTTTTCGAGACAGAATGGTACTAGTGATTGAACCACAAAGCCTTTGCACTGAGTTATCTCCCCAGCCCTTTTTATTTTGTTTTTATTTATTTAGATGTGTTTTCGAGACAGAGTCTTGCTGTGTAGTTCAAGCTGACCGCAAACTCACTATGTAGCCCAGGCTGGCCTTGAACTCACAGGAGTGCTCCTGCCTAAGCCTTCTGACTTATTTTTTATTTTTATTTTGTGATAGGGTCTTGCTAAGTCTCTTAAGTTGCCCAGACTGGGCTTGAAGTTGTGATTCTCTTGCCTCAGCCTCCCAGAGTGCTGTGATTATAGGCTTGTATCACCGCTCCCGGCTTAGACTTTTTTTTTTGGTATCAGGGATCGAACTCAGTCCCTTGCGCTTCCGAGGCAGGTGGCAGAACCACTGAGCCAAAGCCCTGGCGCTAGATTTTTTTTTTTTTTAGTATTGGAATTTTTCTACTTTTTGTTGCTGAACTTTGGCCCACAGTGAAGCAAGCCCAGCTTCTGCAAAGAAAGGGTCATATAGTTAGGAGTTGAGGCTGATTTTCTATGTGTGTGGGCTTCACAGTGGAATTCTGGTTAGAATCATAGCATCTTGGAATGACTGACCAAAGATGTGTTTTTTTCTAGACCAGAAGATGTCCAGGCTTTGGTGAGTGGGAAGCTTGCACTTCGGTATGCAGGGAGACAGGTAGGGAACACCTTGACTACAATTCTAGTCACTCTGAGACTGACATGTCAGATTCATGCTATTTGATGAGACCAGTGCTCTTTGGGTCAACGTTTCACTCTCTGCTGCCCCTAGCTACTGCTTTCTGCCTCATTTCAAATGAAAAAGAAAACAGCAGTCTATATACACAGTTTGTTTTGGTTCATTACAAAAATACATTGCTTTTATTGGAAGAACTTTTCTTTTTGGTACCAGGGATTGCATTCGGGACCTTGGGTTTGTGAGGCAGGCGGCAGAACCACTGAGCTAAATCCCCAGCAGAAATACATTGCTTTTGATGGTCGGCAAATACCCAGTTCTGAAGAGGAGAGACTAATTTCCTGTATTTGTTAAATTCTTAGCCTTGAAAGTCGGTGTTTGGTGCTCCTGTGGACATCAAATGGTTTTAGGGACTCAAAGAACTAAACTGTAACATTTGCAGTGATTTACTTTACATTTAGCTTGGACCAGAAGATCTGTCTCCCGTGAATCTGACTCGCAAATTTAATATATGCAGGATATGACATCTTGGACCCTCGGAGTCAGGAGCCTATTTAGATCTGGTACCTGTGTGCTTTAGGGAGGTTGGATTACTTGGTGCAGTAGCCAGATTTCATTTATTTAATTAATTAATTAATTAATTTTTTTGGGACCTTGCCACTTGCAAGGTAGGCAATAGTACCACTGAGCTAAATCCCCAGCCCCAGAAACCAGATTTTAAACCACCTAGGTACCTTTCTATTGATGTCTTGAATTGTGGGTGTGGTGTAAGAAGGCCCTTGATGGTTAGTCGTCCCCCCCCCCCAAAAGCAATTATTTCTAAACAGGCACCTTGGCCACCTCATAACAGGTAACAGGCGTTCCTCTTTTTTTTGGTTTGTTTGTATGTTTATTTATTTATATTTATTTATTTATTTTTGGTACCCTGGATTGAGCTCACGTCTTTGCCCTTGTAAGGCAGGCGGAGGAACTGCTGAGCTAAATCCTACCCCACCCCAAGCGGAGCTGATGCAGCGTTCTTCTCCGAGGTGCCCGGCCTCTGGGTTGCTCTCCCTGGTGGAATCTGATACCGAAATGGTTTAATTTTGAGACAGAGTCTCACTATATAGTTGAGACTGATCTGGAACTCACTATGTAGCCCAGGCTGGTCTCAAACTTGGAGAAATCCTCCTGCCTCAGCCTCCTGAGTGCTGGCATTACAGGTGTGCGACACCACGCCCAGCAGCATTCCTCTTTTAACAACCTTCCTGTTTAATGACTGTTTGGATTTAAAACTGAGGTGCATTGTTCAGATTTCCAACCCATTTTTTGGGGGGTGCAGTTCTGTTTTTTTTTTTTTAGTGCAGTATACCTTTATGCAGTACTGTAGTTTTTGCTGATTGTACTGTATAATACTGTAATGTAGTTTTATGTTGTTATATATCACAGTACTGCATTGAGTTTGTGAGTAAAAGCAAAGTCAAATTGGAGTTTTCCTTTGACTATTTGTTTTGAAATTGTATATACCATATACAATTCCTCATTTAGTAACCAATTCGTCTAACAAGCTATTGTCAACCTTAACTCAGTCATTAAATGAGGAGCATCTGTATATCTTTGTTGGAATGGCCACATTAGATGATTTCTTCTCCATAAGTGGCCCTTATTTGCTATTCATCAGCAAAGATTTTAAGTCAGCTCCTAGCTTGCACCTCAAGAATACTGGTTATTACTACAAAAGGTGTCCTGCTCTCACAAGAACTAGAGGAGGTAGGCCAGCTGTCCAGGACAAGGTCAGGTGGGTTATAAATGTTCAAGCCATACTTTGGACTCTGGTCATAAATTCCAGGCTTCCCTCATTATGACATTTGTTCTATCTGTAGGACAAATGCTGGATACAGTCTGTTCATCATAGCCCTGCAGCATTGGTTAGTCTGCTGTATCAGACATACCATTTTTACCTAGTATGTAGGCTGACATAGAGAAGCTCTTGACTGTAGCCCAGGCTGGCCTTGAACTCACAGCAATCCTATCTTAGCCTGAGGATCTCTTTCTGCTCCTTTGTACCTTAATGACAGCTTTCAAGTAGGAGTCAGTTGATCTAGAAAGGTGGGTGTTACAGCTGAATGGAGACTTGATAGTTTGGGCAGATGTCATTTTTAATGAGGTTAGAAGTTGTTCTTAGCCATTGATTGATTATACCTTTGGCACTCTGTAGGTTTATCACTTAAATGTAATATGTAGAACATTAATGTCTGAACGCTAACAAAAGTAGGCCTTGTTCAGTGCCTGTGTCAAACATAGGATGAGTCGTGATAAAAGCACAGGTATTGCGCCTGCAACCCCAGCACTTGAGAACCTGAGGCAGAAGGATCCCTGTTAAGTTCAAGGCCAGTCTGAGCAACATATAGTGAGACTTCGTCTCAAAAAAAAAAAAAAGCACAGATTTAATCAATCTGAGGTCAGAAAGGAGTTGGATGGGTATGGAAAAACGTCTTGGAGAAAGGGGAAAACAGTAGCGGTTTTCTTGTCAGTTTTACCTTTTTTCTCACCATCTCTAGAGAATGCTAAGTCAGGGTCTTTTGTTTACTTGTTTGGTTTTATTTTTATTTATTTATTTTTTTGGTATTGAGGATTGAACTTGGGTCCTTGTGCTTGTACTTGTTTGGTTTTAATTTCGGTTTTGAAACGGTCTCACTGAGTAGTCCAGGCTGGTTTTGAACTCGCTGGTATCCCAGGCTGGCCTCCAATTTGAGATCCTCCTTAGCCTCCCAAGTGCTGGGATTAGAAACCTGTGCCTTCATGTTCAGCAGGGTGTATCTTTTTGGTTTTTTGAGACAGTGTCTTGCTGTGTAGTTCAGGCTGGACTTGCACTCACTGCATAGCCCAGGTTGGCCTTGAACTCACAGTGATTCTCCTGCCTCAGGCTCCCAAAGGTTGGGATTATAGGCATGTGCCACCACACCCAGCTTGAGTGTATCTTTTTGGAAAACTTACATTTCCTAGTATTAAATTCATTTCATATTTTAAAGTACATACAAAATGATGTTTGGGCCTGGGATTTAGCTCAGTGGTTCCACTGCCTGCCTTGCAAACTTCCTGAGTTTGATCCTCCGTAACAAAACAAACAAACAAAAAAACAAAATGATGTTTAATACTTCTACCTTTTCTTCCCAGGCCTCTGATGAAGAATGATGGTGGGGTGGGTTCTTCCTTATACCAGAAGTTATATGGACATAACATACTGTTTATGAGACTTTTTAGGTGTGAGCATGCAGAATAGATCACTTTCATGATTTGTTTCTTTAATCTCAGACAGAAGCATTAAAATGTGTGGCTCAGGCTAGCAAGAACAGATCGTTGGCGGATTTTGAAAAGGTGAGCATGGTAGTGGGTTGGTGTGGAATGGGTGGAGAAGGACATTTAAAGAAATTTATGGTTTTAGGCTGAGGATTTAGCTAAGTGGTTCTGCCGCCTGCCCTGCAAGCACAAGGATACGAGTTCCATCCCTGGTATGTATAGTTTCATAAAAAGCTGCAAAGACAGCACCCATTGATCCCATCTATCCTATCCTTCACTCAGGGATGTATCAAAATCAGGCAATAAACACTTTCATACAGTGAAATTGTTGAGTTGATCTAGGTTACATATTATTATTATTTATTTATTTATTATTTATTTTTTTGAGACAGGGTCTCATTATGTAGTTGAGACTGACCTGGTACTCACTGTGTAGCCCAGGCTGGTTTGGAGCTCACAGTGATCCTCCTGCCTCAGCCTCCTAAGTGCTGGGATTACAGGTGTGAGCCACCACGCCTGGCTAGGTTACTTATTATATGTAATACTCTCCTGTTTGAAAAAGTTCTTTGTGTTACCCTTTTTTTAATGACAAAGCTGTTGTCTTCATTTGTGGTTGAGGGAACTGGGTGTCAGGAGCATGCCAAGAAGAATCATGCAGTAATTTATATCGTGGTCTGACTTGGGGCCTAGTGCTTATGCCCCACAGCACTGTCAGAGGTATCCCTTCAGCACCAGAAAGGCCAGGGCGGCCCCTTCTTTGTGAATCATTGAGATGTGCCCTGATGCCCATTTGGCCTGAATGAAACTTCCTCAGGTGATATTTTGAGCTTTCCTTGACTCTTCTGCCTTTTTTGTTGTTCATTATTTGAGAAGTTTCAAAAGGGAAACACTTGTCTAATCTTTAGGATGCGGTTTGTATATATTCTTTTCTGAACATCTCTCCTCTTATTCTCAGTATAGTGACCAATTTAAACAAAACCTAGATCCAAAAAGAAAAGCCATATGGATGGAGACTGGACCATGTGGGTCTCACCATCCCCAAGATTCATCATCTAAGTAGATCCTTGCTGATTCTTCTTGCTCCTTGGCATGATTTATTACTTCTTTTAACACTGTATAGCATAGCTAACATGAAGCTGGTATATTTAGACTGTTACTAAAGGTAAATACATTACACACATGAGTAAACAGTCTAGATGATTTTAGCCCCAAATTTGGTGTGTTTGATGGAACCTTTTATTTTCCTTGGTTCCTCAGAAGCAAGGCTCTGTGACCAGATATTTGGGAAATACTAGGCCAAACAAAATCACTTTTCTTATAACTGCAGAGTTATAGTATACTGATAATTCCTTTCAAAACTCCAAGGAGCTAGTCATGTTAGCTATTGTTTAACCTCAGAATTTGTTTTTATTTTTTGAGACAAGCTGTAGTTCAAGCTAGCCTTGAACTCATAGCAATTCTCCTGCCTCAGCCTCCTGAGTGCTGGGATTATAGGTGTGTGCCACCACACCTTGTTTAACCCCAGAATTTTAAAAATACATGCTTCTCTAGTTAAGCTGATTTACCAGTGGAGCTGGGTCTTGTGGTTGTGAATTGGATCAAATTCAGGACCTTGTGCTTGCGAGGCAGGCATGGCACCGTTGAGCTAAGTCCCTGGCCTCGTTATGAATTGTTGATGCGAGGTTCTTGGCGCAGATGGATGGTGGCTCTACCTTTTAGTTCTTAACATTTCTTTTTTTCTCTTCTCATCTAGTCTCTTGTCTGTTCTCTTCTTCTTTTTCGTCTTGTTTTTCTTTTCTGTTTTTTCCCAACAGGATTTTGTTATGTAACCCAAGCTGGTCTCAAACTCCCCATCTTCCCTCAGCCTCTTGAGTGCTAGGATTGTAGGTTTGTACCACCGTGCCTGGCTGACATTTCTTTTCCTATGCTCTCTGTCATGGCTTCTCTTTTCTCACTCCAAATCTTGCATAACTTAACTATGTAGTTACAAGGGTCAGCAGACTAGCAGACTACTCAGGGAGCTAGGAGTGTGCCTTTAGTGTCTTTATGCCAATCTCTGCTGCCGGCTGTTTTGCAGGCCTTGACAGATTACAGAGCAGAGCTCCGGGATGACCCAATCATCAGCACACACTTGGCCAAGTTGTATGATAACTTACTGGAACAGAATCTGATCCGAGTCATTGAGCCCTTTTCCCGAGTACAGGTAAGAGTCCTTCTGGGGACTCAAGCTGTTTCTGGCTGTGCATTTTCACTACTAGAGCCACTTCCCTTTCCACCTTTTTGCAAAACAGATGTCAAGGGAGTGCCTGATGGGCGGGAAGCCACACAGAGTGGGAGCCCTTGATGGGAAATGAGTGGAAGAGAAGGGTGCCTGTGGGGTACCCTTGTGTGATACCCTTGTGTGCAACTTTGTTTGATGGCCTGTTTGTGTTGAGTGCAGTCTCTTCCTTGCTTTCCTAGTTACTGTGCATGTGGTAAACATTTTCTGTCCTGAGTATGAAGGGCAGGGGAATGTATCGTCTTTAGTGAGGAAAGGCAGACAAATGGAGAACACAGAAGACCTAAGCGTGGACAGAGAGAGTACAGCTCTTTAGAGATGAGACAGTCAGCAGGTTCAGGGACATAGTGCTACCCCCTGCCCCCTGATATTGGAGGCAAAAGTAAAACTTGCAGTGTTGGTGTCTCTCTGCCTTTCCTTTCAGATTGAACATATATCTAGCCTCATCAAACTCTCTAAGGTAAGGAGTTCTGAGGCCCTCTGGGGGAAGAGGGAGGTGGGCAGGGAGTGGGAAGGGCTGGCAGTTGTACCTGATGGGCTTATGGAGCTCCCAAGCTTCTGGGAGGGGAATGGTGGCCTCGGAGCTGGAGTTACATTGTTGCTATTTTGCTTTCAAAGCATTTGCTTGAGACCTTTCTACAGAGCCATTTATTCAGGTGCTCCCTGCCTAATGGATACTGTCCCTTTAATCATGTGCTTTGATTTTAGGCTGATGTGGAAAGGAAATTATCACAGATGATTCTTGACAAGAAGTTTCATGGTGAGTAACAGCGACACAGGCAGGGGGCAGGTGGTAATGGGATGCCTGAAGAGGTAAATTTTTAAAGAAGACATTTTGTTTATTTCTCATGATGGTTCCATGGGATTCTGATCCCTCTTCCCCATGATAAGAGTGTGCTAAGCCACGTGGCAGCGCACACCTGTGGGAGGCAGGAGGATCTCCAAAAGTTCAGGATAAGCCTCAGCTACCTAGAGAGTTCAAGGCCAACCTTAACTACATGGTGAGAGCCTCTTTTTTTTTGTTTTTTGGGTTTTTTTTTTTTTTTTTTTTTTTTTTGGTACCAGGGATCAAACTCGGGTCCTTGCGCTTGGGAGACAGGCAGCAGAATCACTGAGCTAAATCCCCAGCCCAGTGAGAGCCTGTTTTTTAAGAAAACAGTGTACTAAACATGTGCAGAGAGAAAAAGAAGACAAGTTTTATTTCCTTTTCTAAAGAAAGTAAGGCAGGTAGGGAGTTAGCTGCTTAACAGTTGCTTTTATGTCTAATCTCTTCTTTTACGTGGATTGCCCTTGTATTTCTTACAGGGATTTTGGACCAGGGTGAGGGTGTCCTGATTATATTTGATGAACCCCCAGTAGATAAAACTTATGAAGCTGCTTTGGAAACAATTCAGAACATGAGTAAAGTAGTGGATTCCCTCTATAACAAAGCCAAGAAATTGACATAGGTGAGTGCCAGCTCTGGGACCCAGGACCGGGCAGCGCTGTCTTCTGCCTACAAGACTGAAAGCCTCCTCCTGGTGTCCTCGCGGCTTTCCGATTGACACTGCCCTGTCTTCTCTTGCAGAGTTGGATCTGTAGCGGTTCTTTGGAGAGTGTGTGTGGCGGGAGAGTGAAACCTTGGGGGAAAGTGCTAGGAGTTTCTTTTTTCTTTTTGTTCTACTTTTCGCTTGGAAAGTTTTTAAATCCTCATTTGGTGCATCTGTATTCCAGCCAATCGGTGTGCCAGTTTTCATGTAATCTTTACTGGCCCAACTTGGGAGTGGGGAAATTGCTTTAAAAAAAAAAAAAAAAAAAAAAAAAAAAAAAAAAAAAAAAAAAAAATTTAAAATAAAAGGAACAAAGGCTTACACTACCTAAAGCTGTGCTCTCTGCCTCCTGGGAGAGGGCTGCAAAGCCAGGCACCACCACGGGGTCCTGATCCACCCGTTGGGCGTCACCTCTCCTCTTCAGAATTGGGTGTTTGCTGACCATCAAAAGCAATGACTTTTTATTCTGTTTGTACTGAACCAAAACAACAACTGTGTATAGACTGCTGTTTTCTTTTTATTTGAAATGAGGCGTTTTGGTGTTCTCTCCCCTGCCATTCGGCCTGTCTGCCTGTCCCTCTCCCTCCTGACACGGCTCCCACAGAAGAGCTGAAGGTCCCACAGCCGCCGCTGCCACCGCCGCCACAGCCACAGCAGCAGCAGCAGCAGCAGCAGCAGCAGCTGCACGGCTCCACTCTGGCCTGCAAAGGAGAGGACAAGATCAGGAGCTGGTGCCACCATGGCCACAGGGAGCAGTGTGGGCCCTCAGCCCCCAGGGGGCCTGTTGTGCATGTGGCTTTTTTTTTTTTAACACAGTAACTAGATTAGATGTCAGTGTTTTAACTGCCTCCCTCTCTCCTCTGCTGTTCTTTCTCTCTCCTCTCAGCCAGGAGACCATCTCCTCTCCTCCCCCCTTCAGAGGAGTTGGGATGTCTGAATTCCATCAGCTTCTCTCCCTCTCCCACTCCTTCTCTCCTGCTGTCGGATGGATTTATTCCTTTCTAAAACAGTGAACATCGGAAACAAGACTGGGGTGTGTGTGTGTTTTTTTTTTTCCTTGTTGAATTTTTGAGCAACCTCATGTCCCCTTCCCAGGGAGTGTCTTTATTTACCTCTTAGAACTCAAATGGATGGGAGGTAGAGCACTGTATCTCAGCATGCTTTGTTTTCTGATGCAATTACATAGTGAGGCTTTAATGCCATTTGGGCAGATGAGCTTTCTGCACTTCCGCTCTGTTCACCTGTATTTTTTCTGTTGTCTCTTTTTTGTCTGTTTTTCTTTTCCTCTCCTCCTCCTCATACCTCCTTCCTGCTGGCTTCGTTTTCTTTTGCCTTTCTCAGATTATCCTTCCAGGTTTTCGTAATAAATTTATATTTTGTAAAAGGATTTTTGTTGTACCAGGTTTTGCATCTTCACTGAATCTGACTGGCTTTCATTTTCCTCTCCAAAATCAGGTTTTTGTTCTCAGCATCTTCTTTCCCCATCATGTCCAGTCACTGTTTTGGTTTTGGCACCATCAATATCAAATGTACAAACGGTTCTTGCTAACCAACACCAGGTATATCTGATGTTCAGATGAGTTCCAATAAAAATATTTTTTTTTCAAAAGGTGTCCTTTCTTGGGTGCTAGAGGGTTTACAAGCAAGTTCAAACAACTCTGTGGAGCCCAACTCGGGGTTCTTTCACCACATTTGGAATCTAGATTTGGAGGGGTTTGGGCAGGAAACTGATCTGTGAGGTCTGAAATGAGAAGTGGAATTTGGGTATCTCATTTTTCCAAGGCACTGGGTCCAGTGAGGACACATGGGTTTGGGGGTGAGCTCTAGCCTGTTTCTTCACCTGTGTGCTGAGAATGACGTCTCCATGGCAGGTGATTGTGATATGAGGGTCGTAAGTGTTAGTCCTGATGTTCAGCTAAGTTTAGTTTCTTTTGGGAATTTTCAAAAGTGGATTTCACAGTGCCCTCTGACTCCAGGGGTGGTTCTTCTGAGGGGTTCTGGGGCCTGCCAGCTCCTCTCCACTTTTTCTAGTCTCAGTTTCTGTGTGTAATTTTACTTTGGAGAAAGTTGTTTTTTTGTTTTCATTTTTAAAAATTTATTAGAAGGTGAGAGGAGGAAGAGAGGGGCAGACAGCTAGTCTGAATGAGTAGGGAGTATTTGAAAGGGAAATACTCCTAGAGAAAGTTTTGCTTCTGTAAAGAACTTTTAAAAATATTCCAGGGACATAGAGCTGGAGTAGAGGAGAGGGTTTCCTAACCCTCAGGCTCTTTGCTGTGCTTTCCTCGCCTTCTGATGACTTCTGGCATACAGCCAGTGGCCATGTGCTTCTGGCCTGCCCTCAGGATATGGCTAGTTAAAACTCATGTGCTGCAAGTCTAAACCCAAACCAGACCTTGAAGACTTAATATGACAAAAAGAATGTATAGTATCTCAATAACTTTTTTATATGTGTGTTGAAATATTTTGGGTATATTGGGTTAAATAAAGTATTGTTAAAAGTCACCTGTTTCTTTTTACTTTTCTTTCAATTGGCCAGTGGAAAATGCAGATTAGCTCTGGTGTGTAACCAAGGCTCACACTATACATGTGCTGGCCAGCTCTGCTCTAGGCCACTGTCTCTCTCCCCTCCCATTACTCACATAAGCTCTCTAGGTGGGGCTGGCGCCCAGCTGGCCCAGGTCACACTGAGGGGACCTAACCTTCATGGGGCAAGGGTTCCTGGTGTGTGCTGCTGTGGTTCTCTGCTGTGTGCTGGAGTTACATAATCTGTGCTGCCCTGAAGGGCCACTAGATGTTGCTCTGCGATCCCTGAAACAAAGACTTCAGGATCCAGGACTCAGCCTGGCTTCATTTGAAAACCTTTATGAAAGCAGGGGCTGGTGGCTGCCTTGGTTTGCCTTTCTCAGTGGCATAGGAAGTGGGTTATGCAGAGTGGAAGTTCCTGTGGGGTAGCAGAGGTGCCCGGACCCAGCCAAGGGAGCAGCTAGGGATAGGCACATGGGTAAGTGGGATGACAGGACGGGAAAGTGGAGATATTCCCTGCAGTTGTCTGGTGAAGAGAATTGGAAAGAAAACAGCCTGTGTCACTCAGTTGGATCTGCCTTCTGGGTCGTTTTAGGCAGATTGTTGCCCTTTCTGTTTCCTGATTGTCTCAGTGATGGGAACTGGAGGTAGGGAGGCAGTGGTAAATTAAATGAGCAGAACAGTTGCCATCTTGAAACAGGCTTAACAGGCACAGACTGGGTGGGTAGGGTTTCCTGACAACCTTCCCTCAGTCATAACAAGTAGGCTGGCAGTGCCATCCCATTCCTGCTCTGTTGCAAACACCAGTTTGCTGCGGACAAGTGTGAGAAGTTGGAGTCATCTGTAGAGATTTTTTTTTTTGGAGTCAATTCAGGCTGGCCCTGAATTTTTGAGTGCTGGGATTACAGATGTGCGCCACCACACCTGGCTTGTAGAGAGCTCTTCTGGAAAGAGCTAGGGCCCGGTATGGTGGTGCATGCTTGTAACCCCCAGCACTCGGGAGGCTGAAGCAGGAGGATGGCTGTGAGTTCGAGACTAGCCTGGGCCACATAATTCTAGGTCAGTCTCAACTACATAGTGAGGCCCTGTCTCAAAAAAACAAAAACACACCGTAGGGAATGGCTGGCTGGACAAAGGCAAGACATTGGAGTGGAGGTGGGTTGGAAAAGACCTGTGTAAATGTGTGCTGCTGTGGCTGAGGGTGGTGGAATGAGGTGGCGTGGTATTGCCCACCATGAACTCAAATAGCTAGAAATGGATTCAGGTACAGGTCACTGGGCTCAGGTTTTGCTAAGGCACGGATTACAGGTTTAGGGATCTGGCTTTAATTCGGGAAATGGGAAGCATACTTGCTCAACACTAGAATCTGCAGGGGAGCATAAGACCGTATGTGGCTGGGCCTCCACTAAGGGCTGGAGGAAGAAGCCAGCATTCAGCTTTCCAGTTTCAGAACAGCCTGGATTACCCAGTGAGCCAGGGGACCTGAACAACCTAGATTGCTGCATGCTTCTTGAAGGAGGGGTAAGGACAGCTCCATTTGAAGAGCAGGTTGGGTTGTGTGTGTGGCTTCAACATGCTTTATGCCCACCAGCGCTCAGGAGGCGTGTCCCCAAAGTTTTGTTGAGCAATGTGGGACCTTTAAGGGGTATTTCAGTCAGAGAGGCTCCACCTCGTGAAGGATTTAGTGCACTTCGACCAGAGTGGGTGGTTGTCGAGAGGGGTGGTTATAAAGCCTGGCGCCTGTCCTCTTCCACATGTCCATGCTTGCACTTGCTCCTTTCTGCCATGAGGCGAAACCCTCACCTGAGCGTATCCTGCTGTAGGATCTGGGCGGTCCAGCAAGGGCGATCCAGCAAACTGAACAAAACACACCTATTTTCTGTATAGGTTACCCTGGGTCTGGTCTTGTGTTCTAACAACAGAAAACACTAAGACAGCTGTAGCTGGGCATTCAGAAGGGGCTTGTTGAGCTAAAACAGCTGCTGAGGGTGGGCTCGGCTGCGGAGAAGGGAGCCCATTGGAGCAGAGCCCCGCACGTTCCACTTGAGGGCGGGCAGGGGCCCTAACAGCTTTCGATTGTGACCGTTGCCCGAGAAATCTCTGCGTGTACATAAACTAGCACTTTCTAACTCTGGCAGCCTTGATCCGAGTTAAATCAGATTTCTTTTCTGTCCCACTAGCACGGTTGGCAGAAGTGGTGCACAGACGACAGCCTAGGGTGCAGGCGCAGTCAGGAACTGAGGGTGAGTCCCTTCTCCAGAACGCTGCCTCATTTTAGGGCCAGAGCATGTAATTATCTCCCATTTGTCAGGTTCGAATCAATCTCCGGAACCTAACTAAAATGAGTGAATAATAAGTGAACTGTGAAGGATCTGGATTCGTGCCTGTGAAGGGAAAAGAAGAACTTTAATGGTATGTTTTCAAGTTGCATATATTTAAAATGGAAAACAAATCGCGGGGGTGGTTGGTTGGAGGCACAGGTCCTTCAGGTTTTAACAGATCAGGAGGGTGTGGAAGGTTCGCGGTCCAATCTGTGATGGGTTTAGGACAGCCTGTAGGGCAGCGGCCCATCAAGGGGCCTCAGGCCCTGTCCGCCATGGTGTGGGGTCGCCGGTTGGTTGGTGGAGTGGCCCACGCCTTCCGTTCCTTTCGGGCCTGGGTTTCCCAAACCTACCCCAGCGGCGGCGTTGATCTGGAATTAGGGGAACGCGCGTAGCGAGAGGGGGGCAGAAACCCCCCCCCCTCCCCGGCGGCCGGCAGCGGCGGGAACAAAGGCAGCACGTGTC